TTCCACCAATTTAAAACTTGCTGGTTCTTGTGTGTCATTAAGGGATCTTACGCAAAACACGACGGCAACGACAACGAGAACGAAACAAAAGGTCTAATGAGCAGAACAATGGCTGTGCGCGTGCATTATAATTCTTGGTACATTTCTTTGCCGCCCTTTGCAAAACAGCAACATGAAATGACCAAATGCTACGTTGTCTGGACAACGTGAACTACAACGGCTAATTTTTCGTATTTCTATTTGGAAATGAACGTATTCGTAGCATATTCAGCAGGGACAAGTTTTAATACCGACAGACACACTGGATATTTCCAAATAAATGCGAAATTCCAAAGTAAAATAGAAACGCATTTTTACTAGGCGTCGTCCTCGCCGTCGCCGTCGTATATGCGTAAGGTCCCTATTGTGAGACCAAGAACGTCTACATCAACGATTGTTAGAAGCAAACATCCACTGCGCTGGCCAAGTGCATGTAACAAAAAAAAGGCCAAAGAGAGCTGGTGGAGAGGACACGATAATACCAGTTGATTATCTAGTATAACTGTACTTGCAACTGACCACTTTATTTACGGCGACTGCTGATGCAATGTAAAGGGTTACTAAACAGTTATTAACACTGCCATACACGAAAGATTACATCTGCTTGTGATATACATGCGTGTAACAATATTTTCACGAAAGCCAATGATCAATACAAATGCTGGCCCGGAAAAGCCTTTTGCACACAGTTAATTTTTCTCTTGCTTACTTACAAAGAGTGGTATTTTTTGTATCACTGCCCAGGTAATTTTCCACATTGCAGGTGAACGTGTAGACACTTCTGTCACCGGCTTGAAAATTTAGCACGCTTTGATGACACACACTTTGCTGTGGATCACATGGAGTCCAGGCATAACTAGGCTGGGGATTTCCTTCTGCTTGACAATCAAGAGACAAACTTTGTTGTGCTGCAATTTCATGTTCACTTACAAGTTTAACAATCTTGGCAGGATCTACAGGGTTAATAAAAGAGGCTAAGAAAATGAAAATGAAATCTAACTATCACTATGTTTACTGCTTTACCAGGATGCCATTGTTCAACGAACCGTAGCCTCCGTTTTGCGCGAAAATATGCTCGAGAAAAACGGCGGGCTTCGAGGAACATTTTATGTCCAATGGCAAATATCTGAGCGTATTTGTTATGTCAAATGGAGGCTACTGTATTTGTTAACGTTCAAATATACGACGGTCGAAAGGTTGTGAACGAAAACTTATTCGGTTTTTTTTTTATCAAACAAGAAGAATATAGGTTGTATCCGGAGAGCGCATGCACGTATTCACAATTCTGAACAAAATCGTTGAGATATTGCCGTTGATTTATGCTCTTTTGTGATAATTTCGTTTTTTCCATCCATCAAATGCTGCTTGTGATCAAATGTCAAAAGTACAATATATTGCGAGTCCTTAGAAACAGAATTGAAAGATTGCAGGGGGATTTTTTTCATAGGGTGTTTTAGTTCAGGGACCTCTTACACGTACATGTAAAGCTTTTACGATAGGTTTTTCGCAAAAAGGTTTTATCCAAAATTTTACAGAAGCTCGATTGAGCGAGTCTTGACTCTATGAATGCAGGACGCAGATAAATATAGACTGTGAACTGTGTTTGGTTGATTGTTAATAGACTAGGGTTCACTCGTTATGTTCATAAACAATGTTTTGGATACGTAAAATACTTACATGTAACATTCACTTTAAATACTTGGCTAGCGACATTTCCAAATCCGTTGTAAGCTGTACAGCGGTATGTCCCAGAGGCAGTTCTCCTAATGTTTGGAAAATTCCAAGCTGGACCCTGGTGCAGTACTTCACCATTACAACCATCCTCCAGCACTCTGTTCCAGGTGATGTTTGGTGTTGGTTTACCAGTTGCTTCACAAACCAAAGCCATGTTTGATCCTTCAAGCACAGTCTGGTCACTGCTGACATTAATTAGCTTGACAGGAACTGAAAATAGAGGTAAAATGACAGTAACGCATCCCTGACACTCAAACAGGTGGTGTGGCTTTGTCAGGTGTTTTACAGAACAACTCCAGTTTTGAGTTTTCACGAGAGTTCTGATCACAAAGTGGATTGAAGTGAGGGGTGCCCGCCCTTCCCCTAAGCATAGAAATAAAACATAAGTCTGAAGTCAGAACACTGAAATGCGAATGCACCCGAAGCAGCGACGGATCCTGAAGTGCAAAGAAAAGGCGTGTGTGTGTGTGCGGGTGGGGGGGGGGGGGGGG